GGAGAACGTCACCTACCATCCTGCCTTTCTTCACTGCACTGCACAAGCTAACAGATTAAGTATCTGTTTTCTTACATTAACTCCCTAGGATTTGCTAAGGTTTTTGCAAGTCACTAGGTAACACATACAGCCCTAAGGAAATAATGTCACTTAAAAATCAGCACTGGACACTAATTAAAGCAAGCTTGTGTGTGTCTACTGCCTTAAACTAAATGTGAGGCATTGCTTACATACTGTGAGGAGCCGCCCTCCACCGGCTGGCTCACTACTCCCACCTCTCGGCTGCTTTTTCAAGGAAGTATACATTAACCAGTTGGCGCTTGAGGTGTTTGCTGTAATCCTTTTCCTTTCTGAAAGACCGATCACAGAAAATACAAACAAACTCTCCCTCAGTTATTTTCACTGCCAACCCCTCCTTCCCACTTTTTGAACTTGCTTCTTGTGGCACTGGCCGAGCCCTATGCAGCTCAGAATCATCACTTCCCTCAGACATATTATCACTCAGGTCACTTCCATCATGGCTGTGGATGCCTTCATCTTCATCAATGTCTGGTGACTCGTTTTCAGCCAAAGTGATAGGAGGCAAGGCCGTTATGGTTGGTGATGGGACAGGAGGCAATGGTGATGCCGGTTCGGGTACTGAGGCTTTCACAGGGACACTGGGTTCTGCTCAGTGTCTACTTCCATTTCACAAATCCCAGCTGAACCAGTCTGACACTTAGCATGTAACATTTCACCACCTGACCCATTTGAGTTTTGTTCCGAGGATAAGACACTGGCAGATTCCTTGGGAGCAGCAAGCATAGCTAGACTCTTGCCAGCTTCCTCTGTTCCCACTTTCTTGAGAGGGGCCATTTTATTTCCTTCCCCATCAGAGCCAATTTCTTGGTCCTTACGTGTCTCGTCTCTTCTTGAGTTTCCCTTTGGAAGATCCTGCTTCCCTTCAGAAGCTGGTTATCTCTAACAGGCACCAAGCCAACTTCAATAAGGACTTGCGCCTGTCGCACCACCTCACTCCAAATGCCCGACTTCTCCTTGGTACTTTCTTTTCGGGGAGAAGACCTTTTGGTGACTGGTTTCACTTGAAGAGGTGGCTCCATGACAGCAGGAGGCTCTTTCTGAACAGATCCCATGTGAGGAGGCGCTGTCTGAGCAACCTCCACCTGAGCATGGTCCAAAGGACAAAGCTGCCTCTTCTGACAATGTCCCCAATGAGACTCCATGGGAGGAGGCAGCTCCATCTGATCAGGCTCCATGGGAGGAGGCGGCTCCCTCTGAGCAGGCTCCATGGGAGGAGGAGGCTCCATCTGATCAGGCTCCATGGGAGGAGGCTGTTCCATCTGAGTAAGCTCCATGGGACGAGGCTGCTCCATCCCTGGAGGCTCTGTGGGAGGAGGCGGATCACTCTGAGGAAGCTCCAGGGGAGAAGGCAGCTCCCTCTGAGCAGGCTCCAGGGGAGGAGGCAGCTCCATCTGAGGAGGCTCCAGGGGAGGAGGCAGCTCCATCTGAGGAGGCTCCAGGGGAGAAGGCAGCTCCATCTGAGCAGGCCCAGTCTGAGCAATATCCATGGGAGAAGGAAGCCCGGGCTGAGTAGAGCCTGTAGGGGTGACCACCACCTGAGTGAGTTCAGGACCGGAAGAGACCTCCTCCTGAGCCAGCTCCATGGAAGGAGGCTCTGCCAGAGCTATCTCCTTCTGCGTCTCCTGAGCAAGTCTGCTGCCCTTCTCACTTGACCTACCTTTTTGAGGTTTCTTCTTTGCACCTTTTTTAATGGAAGTATTTTGCTTTTTATTGTCCCCCTTAGTCTCCTCCATCTTGCTGTCATCCTTTGGCACCTCGGTACTATTTTTGGATTTGCTTTCCATCTTTTTTTTT